TAGCATACAGGAGGTTCGGGATATTCTGCTCAAGTCTCCGGTTGAACTGCCCAAAACCAGTGATCTGCCTTATAAAGAGGCTGCATAGAAGCAAGGTTTGGGTTGCTTGCACTGATCCGGGGATCAAACTGAGAAGACTGTGCCTCTGTTCAGCAGTCACGACTCTTCTGCAAAGCCACGAACAATCAAGCGCGGAGCTGACTCAATGTTGCAAGTTGTAGCCAAGAGAGATAAAAAGTCGTCTGCTCGAGCAAAAAGTCCTTCAGTTGCGCAAACTACCGATCCAGGAGTCGGTGAGAGCTCTGCTGGTCAAGTTTGACACTCATGTTGAAGCCACGGAGGCATCCAAGCATGAAAATTGCTGCTAATGCATACAAGCTGGGATACTTGGACTGCAGGAACGGTGCTCCTCCTTGTTGCCCTCTCGAACATGAAGATGGTGAGCAGCTCTATCTTGACTTGCCCCCTGCTCAAAGTGAGCAGCTCAATGCTGTGTATGTAGAAGCAGTTGAAGAGCAGGTAGCTGATGAAGTTGCAATGTAGGAAGACGAGAAACGACGCCAAAGGTGGCGCGGCTGATGAGATTAGGGCAGATGCGGAGGAGGAGGCAGCTGGGGCTGCTGAGCAGATGATGCCGGTTGAGCAGAATCAGGTTCATTTCTTGTTGAACTTGACTGGTTGGCAGCTTTGTAATGGAATTTTCAGTTGTCTTTCAAACTTCAATTCTCATTGTATCTCGTAAGTGTATGTCCGGAGGCATAGCGCTTAAAAGAGACTCCATTGAATTTGTACTCGAGAAGTTGCTTGCCTACAATGGAGGTAAGGCTTGTAGCATGTGTGTGCATGTCGGGGACATAGCGCTTGAAAAAGGCTCCATTGAGTTTGTGCTTCGAGGAGCAGCTTGTCTGCAATGGAGGTGGGGCTTGTCGCCTGCGAGTGTATGTTGGTGACATAACACTCGAAAAGTGCTCCATTGAGTTCGTGCTTCGAGGAGCAGCTTGTCTGCAATGGAGGTTCCATTGAGTTCGTGCTTCGAAGAGCACCTTGTCTGCAATGGAGGTTGGGCTTGTCGCCTGCGAGCATATGTCGGGGACATAATACTCAAAAAATGCTCCATTGAGTTCGTG